ACAGCGCCACTTCACTGGCAGAATTTTAAAAGTTGTTGTGTGTATTAGAAAAATTCAGTTACATTCAACAAGATTTATTAGAGAGCACTTCCCCTTTGAGGAAGGCTTTGGACCTGTTTCATTGGTTGATTTTAGAAACGGAATCAGATTTTTGTGTATGGCTAGACAAAGCTCAGAATGACATGGTATTTTTCTATAAAATGGTTTCTTTATTCCTGCTGCTTTAAATCTAGGGTCAGTTACAATGGAAATGGAGCTACTTGCAAAAACAAGTTAGTCGCTCATTGTTATCTCCGACATGTCATTCAGACAAATAATTCCCTTCCAGTGCCACAAAGATAAGAAATAAAATAATGTAAATTTAAGAGTCTCTTTAAAAACAGACACTAAAGTGTTTCATTTGAAGCTAATTTCCTTGTTAATGAACTCAGCTAGTGTTTTGTGTCTATCATTGTTATTCCTTCCAAGTCTCAATGATTGCTTTTTCATTTTTCTCCTTTAGATAGCATAACAGAAAAAATGACTGGTTATTATTCATACTTTAGGCAGGCAACACAGACATTAGTTGGTTAGATTAACTGTTATTACACTAATCACTTGTGATGCCTGTAAAACTATTTTAAGTATTTTAAAATGCCTCTGAATATTCTTGTCAATATTGTATTAATATGACATTTCTCATTTGTTCTGATTAAGACTGTGTCCATATGAGGCCAGCAGTGCCAGCTGAATTCAGTTTCAGGTGGTTCTCATTCTTCTCACATTGAAATGCAAGTGAGAAATGTTTCAGAAAAAAAATACACTATTTAGTAATTTTCTCACTTCATAAGTCAAGGATTTCAGAAAATTGCAAAATTCCTTTCAGGACATTTCAAGTAGTATGTAAGAGGCTCGGGTGTACCAACTTCTCCTAGAGCCATTTTCAAAATGTTAATAGGGGCATTATTCAATCTTTAGGAATTTAGGATTCAATCAGGGAAAAACAACTAGAAATGAAAATAAAAGAATACATTTACAATAGCAGCAAAACAATGAACTACTAGAAGTAAATTTGACAAAAGATGATGAAAATCTTGCTTAATGCAAATTGCAAGATATAAGTTGGAGATGTAATACGTTTGCACAGTATGCGATTTGGAATCATTCTCTTAGATTGATCTATATGTTCAGTGCAATATCAATTTAAATCTCAGCAAACTATGTTATAGAAATTGAAATAGTAATTCATATGGAAATGTAAAGGACCTAGAATAACAAAAACAATTTACCAAAGATATATGAACTTGGAAGACTAACAAACTGAATACTAATTTAAAACTACAATAAGCAAGGCAGCATGACTTTGATGTCAAGACAGATAGATTAACAGTTGGATGATAGATAGATAGATAGATAGATAGATAGATAGATAGATAGATAGAGTGAAGAATCCAGGAACTGATTAATGATATTAAGTGTTTTTCTCATACTTTTCGACCATTTGTATATCTTTTTGAGAGGAACAATTAGGTAT